GGCCGTCAGGGGGTCCCGTCCTCCTGCCCGGCCGGGAAACTGCCTGTGACCGTGGCCGAGCCGCTTCATCGCTCTGCTCTGCCCTTTCCCCTCGGTAAAATTAAAAATAGCCTCCTTATCCTCAGCGTTAGGGAACAGGCTTCTGGGAAAAGGCTGGAAGTCTCTCCGTGAGGAAGTCCATAGGGGCAAAGTCCTTCCACGTTTATTTATCCAGGCAGGACATTCCAGGTCACCGCATCTCCGTTGTGCCATCATTCCTTTACCTGTAGGTTTCCCTGCCCTTAGGTGTGGGTTCTCCCCGACATCATTTGCACCACCTCTGGTTTGGATGTCTCGCCCCCGGGCTACCTGCTCCGTCTGAGAGCGCTGGACCGGCGCAGCCCTGAGCCGCGGCTGCCGGCAGCATCGCCCCCGGAGCCCCGGGCGGGCGCCCCGGGCGGCCCCGGGCCCTCGTGGAGTGCCAGGGCCGGGGGAATCGCTGCCCCGGCTCCGCTGTGGACAATTAAAGAGCAACATCTCGGTTGATTTAGTAATGTTTGTTTTGGGACAGCATAATTAAAATTTAGATTAATTACTGCCTTGCAGCTGTCCCGGTTTGACTGACAAAAGCTGGGAATGGTTCTGGTAACACCGCACGGTGCCTCTTTACCGTCTCTGCAGAAGGGAGAGCCTGTCCCGGGCGCTCGCAGGCTGATGCGCTGTTTCAAAAATAGCTGTATAAACATATAAACATGATTTTCTTTTTCTTTCAGCTGAGGGCTGTGATACACTTAATTGCTGCCCAGGTTAAAGTCTCAATGCCGCAGACTCCCCCGAGAGTGGCAGAGGGAAATGTGGTGTGTTTGTGGGATCCCAATTAGAGAAGGCAATGGTGCTGAGGGGTCGCTGGGAGAGAATAACGGAGCTCTTCTCCTTATTCCCCACGGGCATTTAGTAGCTTGTCAGAACCTGACTGGTCACCCGTCAGTGGAAGGTAGGACGGTTTTCTCCCTGTTCCCATAGCAAAGACCACCTCTCGATGCAGGATAATTGATTTAGGGATGGAGTTTTGCAGAGTGAGAACTGTTCACCTGAGATTTGCTTCAGCTACGCAATAGCAGGGGACTCCAAAATCCATGCTCATCCATTCTCTGTTCATTTCAGGAAACAGAAATGAAGATTTGAGTGCCCAAATGTGTTCTTTGTTGCTTTTAATTTTTTGTCACGCTGCATCGTTGGCAGATCCTGCTTAGATGCATCCCTAAAAAGACTGCCAGGAAGGCAAGCCACGGCACAAGCCGACGTATTGCTTCTTCTCTTTTACATAACCAGCCTTGGAGGCCGTTACATACATCCCTCGAGCTCCACAGCCTCCCAGAGAGGCGAGCAGAACAGATGGGGAAGCTGAGGCTGAGAAAGGCCTTCCAGGGAGCCATTGCCAAGGACGAGAACGGAACCCAAAAAATCCCTGGCTCCGGGCTCCCTCGGTAGGAGGAGAGTGCTGCCGTGAGCGCTTTGGGCTGCTGGATGGCTTTAGCCTCTCTCGTGTCCAGCAGACGCCAATGTTGGCGAGACCTGGCGAGAGAAATCGTCTCGAACACGCTGTTCCCCCAGAGCAGGGCTCGGGGATCGCCTCTCTCGGTGCACGCGGTACCCGGTGCTCGGGTCTGCCGGGGGCTCCCTGGGTAGGGACCTCCTCTCCAGGCAAGGCCAGCGCGTGGCCGGTGACGTGCTTTCCTGAACTCCTCACTGTTTGCTTCTCTTTTGCAATTGGCTTCAGAGGATCCGGTGCAAATAAGGTCAGAGCTGTTCTGATGTTGAAGGCTGATGTGTGTTTTTTGATGCTAACGAAGGGGACGGGGCGTCCCGGGGGAGGGGGAGAGGGGCTGGAGGCTGCTGTGTGCACAGAGGTTTCTGCTGCCGGTGCCTGCTTCGGGTGGTACCCGTGGGTAAGCCTGATGGAGATGGGCGCGTAGGACCGAATCCCCATGCTGGTGGCCCTTTTCCAGCGGGGAAGGGAGGTGGCAGCCAGAGCGAAAGGAGAGCGTCAGTAATGCAGTGAGAAGAGTGACTCACAGCTCTTACGGAACGGAAGGGGAGAAACTGCTGTTGGATTTGCATTGTAGAGGCTGTGTCTAAGCCCCTGACTGTGCCGCGCTCGGCACAGCAGAATCGCTAAGCCCTGCAGCACGTTCTGCCCTGGGGGACGCCTTCGCTGCCCTGGTGCCGCCTGCTAGTGAGGTGTATAGTGTACGGCCACGCAGCGACGGGCGCTCTCGGAGAAGGGCGGGAGTGGTACAGAGGCAGCGAGGTCTGCCTGCGGCCGGCAGAGCGAGCGGCAAACGCCCTCGAGCCACTCCTGCCCTTTCCCAGAGCCTGTCCCACGTCCTGCAGACAGCGGGAGCCCACGGGGAGGGATCATTCCACCGGTCGCAGAGCTGAGGAAGAATCCTCTGTCATCCTCCCGCCCTCTCCCCTCTTTCTCCACCGCTACCACCGGTCTTTCTTTACTCCGTGCTTTGCCCTCCGCTTCTTTCGTTTGCAAAGTCAGCCCATTCCCATTTTCTCACCCTCTCTCATTCACCGCCGTCGGTTCGCGTTGTCGGAGTGCCGCGGTAGGGAGCGCGGGTGGAGGCGGGTGAAGCAGCAGCGGCAGCGCGCGCATCCTGCCTTCGCGTAGGTGAGCGCCGTCGGCCTCAGTCTTCGTAGGTCGTGTGCCCAACTCCATCGAAAAGAAAGCAGTGAGCACTGCGGCTGGGACTGAGGAACGTGTCTTAAGTGAGGCTCCCCGGTATTTCCGTGTTCAGTTGGTGATCTGAGGTTTTCGGGAGAGATGAGCGTTCGGTAGTTCCAGCGGCACCGCAGAAGCGCTTTCTCCGAAGGCGCCTTTGCCCGGTACCATCGAGGCTGGCTGTGCCCTTGGCCAGCGTTTCCTCTTCAAAATGCGCCATACCGGTTCGGGAGCGTATGCCTCATGGAAGTCAGGTGGGATACGCTGCCCCTCTTGGCTGAGCCTCGCCCAGGGCGACCAGCGATATCCTGGCAACGTTCTTCCCTCTTGTCCCGGCACCGGGCTCGGGAGCGTCCCCTCCTCCTCGCTCTCTCGGACAGAGCGCGCGCATCCCAGGGAGTCGTGTCCCCGTGGACGCACACCTCCCCTGTCATGCGCTCACGTGTGGGAACCACAAGAAAGGATCATTTGGGGCTGCAGAACGTCCCAGCGAAAGTTTCCAGCTGCTACTTTTCGGTCCTGAAAGTCCATCCGTGCCCGTGGGTGCCACAGCGGGGACTCGGGAGGTCCCTCTCTGCGTGTGCCTGAATGTCCTGGTCCCTCGGCTGTCAGGGGGGTTAATGGCCCAACCGGCCCCTTGGGTCGTCCCGGCGAGGTGACGGCTCTGCCTTGTGCGGGCATGTCATGCCCGTGTCTGGGCTGCCGTGGGCTGAACCG